TCAGTCAGGCAGACTTGGACACAGAGGCCACCAACAACGCTGGACAGAAGACAGCCTCTTGAAAGGTACAGGGTGAACTAGCCACGCATGTGCAGAAGAATGAAGCTAGACCCTGCCTGTACTAAGAGCAAATAAAAATTGATCAAAGATCTCGATAGAAACATAGAAATGTTGAAAGCACTGCACATGGCTTAGGGTAAACACTTCACATCCGTAGGCACAGGCAGGCACTTCCTGAACAGAAGGAACATTGTTAGCGTGAGAAATACCACCAAGAATCAATAAATGTGATTATATCAAAATAAAAAGCTTCCACACAGCAAAGAAAACAGTCAACAGACTAAAGAGACAATATGCAGAATGGGAAAGATTTTTTAATTAGTACGTTTGTAGTACATAATATTCGCCCTTGTGTGGAGTTGGTACAAATGCATAACGTATATTCATACTCTCTTTATCTCATTTTCCTCCCGTCCCTCTCAGCTCAATCTCTACATTCCCTTCTCCTTTGAGAAATCTCTATCCATTCATCTGCTGATGGACAGATAGGCTGCTTCCACGATTTAGCTGTTATGAATTGTGCTGTATGAACATGTATCACTATAATATCATGCCTTTAACTTTTTCACAAAGATACCTAGAAGGGGAGTATCTGGGTCACGTAGAATTTCTGATTTTAGTTTTCTTAAGGAATCTCAATACTGATTTCTATTGTGGTTGTAGTAGTTTACATTCCAACCAGCATTTGCAGAAGGGCTCCTTTTTCCTGGAGCCTCTCCAGCATTTGTTATTATTTGATTTCTTGATAATGGCCATTCTTTCTGGTGTAAAATGAAGTCTTGGCGTTGTTTTAATTTGTATTCCTCTCCTGAGCAGTGATGGTAAGAATTTCTTCATGTATTTATTGACTGGTTTTACCTTTTCTGTGATTAGGTCTTTCATTTTGGACTGTTCAACTTTTTTGCATTTTATAGCTATTCTAGATCTGATTCTTCTGTCTGAAGAATAGATAGCAAAATTTTTTCTCATTCTGTAGATTTTCTTTTCACTTGGTTGCTCCTTTTAATGTGCAGAAGCTTTTACAGTTGATATGAATTTTATTTGTTGATTCTTGCTATTTCTGATGTAACCAGAATTCTGTTCAGAAAGTCCTTGCCTATGACTCTGCTTTTAAGAGTTTTATGTATTCTATTTCCCAGTCGGTTAAATGTTTCTTTTTTGACATTTAGTTCTTTGATCCATTTTGATTTTAGTTCAGTATATGGCAAAACACAAGCATTCAACCTTCTGCATATGGATAGCCAGTAAAATGAGTAAAGACTTTTGCTAGCTAATAGAGCACTAGTATCCAGAATATATAAAAAACTCAGAAAGTATCTCTGACAAACAAATGGCCCAATTAAAAAATGGGCAACTGAACTAAACAGATACTTCTTTAAAGAAGAATTGAAGATTGCCAATAATACATGAGAACATGTTCAACATCTTTAGCCATTAAGACAATGCAAAGAAAAATAACTATAATTCTGTCTAACTGCAGTCAAAATGGCTATCATCAATGACAAATTGGCTGAATGTCTTAGCAGTTGTGTCTGCTTCTTTGATTCTGTTCTACTCATCCTCATGTCTGTTTTTATTCCAGTACCATGCTGATTTTATCACAGTAGCTTTGTAGTATAATTTCAAGTCAAGGATTATGATGCCTCCTGCCTTACCTTTGTTGCCCAGGATTGCCTTTGCTATTCTAGGTCTCTTTCATTTCCAAAGGCATTTTAAGAATGTTTTCTCTAGATCTCTGAGGTATGACAATGGTGTTTTAATTGATATTACATTAAATCCGTGTAACAGTTTTGTAAGTATGGCCATTTTCACAATGCTGGTTCTTCCTATCCAAGAACAAGTAATATCTTCCCATTTGCTTTGAAGTATTTCTCGTGCAGTTTGCATTTTGTTCATGAACTCTTTGCCTACCCCTATATTTTCAGGATTTCTACCTACCTTGTCTTTCAGTAGATTTAGTGTTTCTGTTTTAATATTTAGATCTTTGATCCAGTTTGACTTTAGTTTAGTGCCTGGTGATAGACATGGGTTTAGTTTTAGTATCAGCAAATAGAAAGAAAATTTTTGCAGCATAGTCTATTAAAGAGGCTACAAACATTCAACAAGACTGGTCATTCAAGGAAAGCAAATTAAAATAACACCGAGAGTGCACCTTACTCCGGAAAGAATGGCCATCATCAAGAAATCAACCGTTAACAAATGTTGGCAGAACTTTGGGGAAAAAAGAACCCTTTTCCATTGTTAGTGGGAATATACACTAGTATAACCACTGTGGAAATCAGTGTGGACATTCCTCAAAAAATTAGGATTGGGAAGTCCCACTCAATCCAACTATTCCCCTTGTGTATTTTCCCAGAAGAATTGAAGGCATCATGCCACAGTGATACAAGTGCACCCATGTTTATAGCAGCACAATTGTAATAGCTAAATCTTGAAAACAACCCAAACACCCATCAACCATGAAATAAATAACATCGATGTGGTATTTTTATACAATGGAGTATTATTCAGCTATAAAGGAGGACAAACTTGAGGCTTTTATAGGTAAGTGGATGCAACTTGAGATCACACTTAAAAGTGAAGTAAATCAGACTCACATGTAAATGATCTCCCTAGTATTAAAAAAAAACTGAAAGAGTAAGATAAAATAAGATTTCCAAAATGTACAATAGATATTGTGAAAATGAAAGGAAAAGAGAATGTTCAGAAGGAAAGAACAACTGGGATGGAGAAAGAAAAAAGAAAGAAGGGAAAAGGTTATATGTATACATATAAATGTGTGAATATATATATATTATATATAGTATAGATAATGACACTTCTAGTCTCTGTTCATCAAAAAGAACAGTTCATGCTTTCATTGTTTGATTATTAGATCATTTTTTCATGCCTGAATCTTGTAATCTGAATAATTACTTTTAAGATAACAATATGCAATATATTAGCTAATGTTAATTTCCCATTTTTTTTTGAAATACTGCATCATTTTTATCTTTTGGTAAATTTGATTGTTAAAAAAAAACCCACAAAAGCAACAAATACTGTTGAAAATGCAAGGGAAAAGGAACTTTCTATATTTTTGGTAGGGATGTAATATAGTATGACCACTTTGGAAATCAGGGATCCTGCAAAAGGGCTTCCTCAGAAAATTAAAAGTAGGAATTCCACTTGACTCACTTATGTCCCTCCTGGGTTATTCCTGAAAGAGTTAAAGTCATCACACTGTAAGTGATACATGTCCACCCAGGTTTAAAGCAGCACAATTTACAATAGTTAAGCTTTGAAAACAGTCCAGAGATCATAAAGACTCAAGTGGGTAAATGTAGTGTGTACACACAGTGGACCTTTATTCATCTATAAAGAGCAATTTATTCACATCTTTTGGGGGAAATGGGTAGATCATGAGCCCGCAATGCTAAGTGAGATAAGTATCAGACATGGGAATTAAAGACTATAGGGTTGTTAATGTATTAGAAACACAGGATATCAATCAATAACAGAGTAAAATAAAAGTGAGATGGCAGGAGAGAAGAAGGCAGACCTTCTGGAGATGGACAAGGGGACATGAGGAAAAAGAGAGGCTGGTGCCAGGGAAAGTGAACTGAAAATGGTCAAGACGTGGCATGTGCCATTACCCAAAATGATTGCAGATTTTATGATCAAAACACATAGCAATGAAGGCATGGAGCTTCTCTTCCCAGAGCTGGCTGTTAAGAAGCACGGGGGAGGAGAGAGGTGGCACCCCATCTCATTCTGGGAGTGGGGAGTGTCCAACGCCACGTGGAAAGAAGGGCAAATGGGTGCAAATATACGGTGATGTAGATTTATTAAGTAGAATAGTGAATGGTGAAAGAGCACAGGCAGGGACCAGGCAACTGGAAATGTTTTCTATGAAATAATTTTTGAACAGTCACAGGATAGCTTGCTGGAGTCACAGGTTTTGTGACATTAGGGTTAGCAGTTAAACCAAATCCCTTAGAAAGTTTACAAACATATTTCCCCCTATGGTTTAATCAATAAAGGTTTAGATTTTGTTCTGTTTGATTAGGCACTATTGATATGATGCATCAATTATGTATTCTTTTTTAAAAAAATTCACCAAAGTAATTGATAATTAAGTGTTAAATCTGTGCAAATTATATTCTCAAAAAATGATTTAATTGGGCTGGATATTTAGCCCAGTAGGCTCAAGCACTTGCCTGGTAAACATGAAGTTGTGAGTTTGATCCCTGGTATCAAGCAATACAAAACAAACAAAAATGATTTAGTTTGTAATTTTGGCACTATTTTAAAATATCTTACAGATGGGTTTTCATATGATGATGATGATTCAACCTTGGTCTCTTTTCAATAGTTCATATAATCTTGTAAACCAGTCAATTTAAGTTAATTGCTAAGTATATTTGGATTTTAAAGACAAAATGCTACAATTTCACTGATTTCATGAAGTTTTCCCTTAGTCCAACTCTTAATGAAAAAATAGAATGTTTGTTAAAGATGAATTCACTGAGTGGGCTTTGTATTTCACTCTACAACTATGTGACACTATTTCTAGCCACATTAACTAATTATACTCACTAATTAAACTTGATTAGTATTTTAAAAATTAGGAATGCCAAAAACTGATTTAAGTGGTTACTTTGCATACCTATTTAAATTGACTTTTTCTAGCATAGTTAGTGATTAATTCCTAGGTAATCTCTTTTTCACGCTTTAGAAATCTTCTCCACTGGAACATAACATGCAGTTAGGTATAAAAGCTCATGGACTAAGTCCAGAAAAATTTGTTGTGTAATCCTTGACACAAACCAAATAAAAATTTCCATCAGACTAGCACTAAACAGTTTTGCATATTTCAAAAACTAACCACAGTTTTAGATTAACTATTATGCTGATGTGCTTTACTTACTTAAAATTTGGTTTACCTATTTTGCTGACAGGTTGCTTCAGAGACGGGCAACATTATGAAGAAGGATCAGTAATTAAAGAAAACTGCAACTCTTGGTAATGAATTTAAGTGACAGAACTGGATTCAACTGTTGTTCATGTTTTGTTTTTCCAAATAAAAGCAACACCACTGAAACAAAGCACAGATTTAGACACATGCAGACAGAACCATATAGAACATCAGACATTGTAAGTTTTCATAAGCATGAGTGAAGAATGTTAGAAGATGATCATGCATATATCTTTCAAAGCTTCAATTTAATGTTTTTGATATCGAGGCTTCAATATGCTACAGGCCTGCATTAAGTATACTTTTTAATTTTAAACATTTTGATGCCCTATGGACAAGTTATGTGAGTTTTTAATTTTGGGGCACAGTACTGTACATAACAATAGGTTGTTTTAAAGGGATCAGCTTGCGGACAATGTTCAAATACATTGTATTATTTTTTTTTATTTCAAAGGCTATGTAGTTATATCATTCACTAATTGCCCAAAGCAGAGGACAAGAGCCTGTGAGTGATAGCTAGAGCATGTTTTATAATTTATTTTCACCATGAATCAAACAGCTGCGTGGTTTACGTTAAGTAAGAAATGATGTTTCATCACTTAACAATGTGCAGCTCTTGTCACTAATTGTGAAACACACCCCACAGAAAAGCAGGCTACTTCTATAATTTTTTTTTATCTTTGCAGCACATGCTCAGCACAGCAATGGAAATGTTCCCAGCGTGCATGCCTCGTTTGTCCAGAATTAATTGAACACATCAATAAAGGAGACTACGGGTGAGTGAATCTTGCAGTATAGGTTCATGGCACTCCTGGTTACCCCTCTGTCACTCCTACAAACACTCATTATGTAAAGAGTAGGAGAGAAATGGGAAGGGAGATAAAAAGGTTTGCAAATATGGAATGTATGAGGAAAATATACAATATTTAAAAATTAAAATTCACAGGTAAAAATGACATAGAGCCTAGTCTTAAATGATTAAGAAAGATCACTGTTGCATTAACTGCTTTCTCTGTTGCTGCCCTGGTGGAGCAGGTCATGGACTCATCTCCTGAGCAGAATATTGCCTTCACCGAATGGCATTCTGTCTTGATGTTCTCCCAAATAACAAGTCAAGCTAGACTGTTTCACTAAAATGACTGATAGTTAGACAATTTCATTTTAGGCTGGGCCAAAAGATAGGTTGAGTCACTGTGCTAGTAATCTAAAGATAGGAACACTGGGACATTTAAACACTGGCAGTAACTGCCACTCTCCTGTATGTTATAAAGTGGCTGGCTTCTCCACTCCCACAGAGGGAACTAAGATGTGGGGATGGACATTTGCTTTCTCCCAGGAACTGAAAGAGAGAGGCAGGCCGGCTAAATACCTGCCTCGAAATTTCTGCACTGCCATTGATTAAATCTCTGTCTATCTTGACTCTGGAAAAGAGTTCACGTAAAGAATTTATTTCAAGCAACTGGAAAAATGAAATAATCCTGAGATTCGTTTTTAAACAGAAGTGTCATTTCTGTCCACACTTAAGACATTACATCTCCTAGCCAAATGGGGTGTTGAATTTCAGTGGATTGAAGATATTTTCTGGGAATACACAAAACAGTCATATTTGTTGACACTGACAGTCTGAAATCATTTTCACTCCCTTGTGTGTGTGCATTTAAGCAATATTTTAGGGAATAATTTGATTACATTTAAGCATTCCCAGGAAAAATCAATTGCAAACTTCTGTAGCTAAGTGACTTTTTAATTATTCAAAATACATGAGTCAGGCTTCTAAAAAGACATAATGCCGAACCTAATTAATACTCATTTCCAAGAAACCTACTGGACTGGCTTGGCTTTTCACTGTTACAAAATATAGGAGACGCCACAGTTTAAATCTGTGTGGAAGAAGGGACTTTTAGGGCACAGAAGCTGTTGGGGACCCCTGGAAAGGAGTTTCTTTCCATCATTTGTTTATCTTGAGCAAGCTAGGAAGCATGTGTTTTCATAGCAAATACTAAAGCATTACAAGACCTTACAAAAATAAAAAGGGAAATATCATTAGAACAAAAGAAAATACACACTGACCAAGTAGAAAAAGTCAAAAGAAACAAGCTATGAAGAAAAGGAACAAGAGCAAAATTACTTACCAGGAAACAGAGCAAACCAACCAACAAAAAACAAAATCCTTTTTCTTTTCTGTTATCATCCACTCACGATGCTCAAATTGTTTTTATACTGTGTTATTCAACATTTATTAAACACTTTTAATCAGTGTTCTCCATTCTTGATGGTATTTTTACAGTGCAGGGCTTAGTCTACATAATGTTCTTAAGTGCTTATTTGTTCTCTGTATTATTTTTTCAAGGCAGCCTATTAATATTAAAGCATGTGATTCCACTTGTGGCACTGCTGAGGGTTCAGATAATTTCTATCCTGCAGGCGTTTTCAGGTGGTTGAGGACCAACATGTTGTCTAAATGTGATTTTTCTTATGAACTCAATTCACAAACTGTAGTTTGTGAATAAATTGGCTCTGATTCCTCACCAGGTTTTCAATAGAGGCCTGTCCCAAAGTTAGGGGAGCACGAGTGTCCATTCTCAGTTCCTGGCATCTGCTTCTCCCCTCACTGCAAGCCAGAAAGCTTGCAGTTGGTTTTATTCTTTGCTCTCTTTTCCTCCGTCTCCGTGCCTGGCTGATTCCCATGCTCAGCGCTTCTCGTAGACCTGCCCTGCTTTTGTGCCTAGGTTGTACTCACGTGCACTTCCTGCACAGCCTCTCCAAGGTGACCCAGCATGTTTCTCTGCTCAGTCCCATGTGGTTGTCCTGCTAGAACAAAGCTTTGCTTCCCACGTGCGTTCTCAAGAATCTTCTTTCTGTTGCTCCTGAAATATAGCTGTTTTCCTGAGCATACGTGACTGTAACCCAATGGGTTCTTCTCACTCCATTTTCACATGCTTGTGAGTGTCTGTGCTCCCATCCCTTCCTAACTGAAGTGTTTCTCTTACCTGCCACTTTCTCTGTGTGCCTCCTAACAAACCTGCATGCTTTGTTCTAGTTGCCTTTGTCCAGAATAAATGGCATCTTTTTCACGTTTAGTCACCAAACTTGTTTTCTTTCAGACTCAGCATTGTTTATTTTCTGTAAAATATTCAAATTCTTTGAAGCAGAGTTGTTTTACTCTCTTCTCTGATCATATTTTGATCTTTTACTGATAAAGATCACATACTAAATTCATTTTTCTTTGTAGTCTTTGTTAGGGGATGAGCTCGTTGAGGGCAGAGAAGTTTATTCATTTCTATGTTCCAGTGCTTACCAGAGACTGTGGTCAATTAAGAAAGTTCAATAAATGCTGTATTGGATTAAAAGAAAGTGCTGAGTCTAGGCCACAGAGGATGGTGTGAGCTACCGGTGCTTCACCTCTCCTGGATGGGAATCTCAGGGAGGCCACATCTGACCTTTGGGATGTTGGGGATGTGATATGGCATGTGTTTAAATAAAATAAAATGTATTAGACTAAAAGGTATATTTCCCTCATCCATTCAAAATAACCCCTCAGTTTGAACACGCATCCCGTCAGTCTTGCCATTCCTGAAGCCGATCTTTTTCTATGAATATTTTTAGTTGCACTGTCATGGCTGTTTGATGTTTTGAATCAGTTAAAAAAGTTTACCTTTCGTGGTCATTTTTGACTTCGAGGAAGAGCCAGAATTTGTACCATGCTGGCTCAGGAAAATAAAGTAGATGAGGACATACCGTGATGTTTTTATGAACTGCTTTTTCACTGATGGCATTTGGCAACAGCATTCACTAAATTTTTATGTTATCTTGTACAGACATTCATAAAAGGAACCCCCAGAAGCACTTAAAGAGCGCAAGCATCACGAGATAAATATATTTGAAACGAGCGGGAAAATTTTGAAGGGAACCAATGGCAATATGTTTTACTGTAATACTATTTTTTCAAAAGAAATGCAGTATTCACCATGTTTGTGATCACCCTTTGCCATATACACACGTGTTCAGTTGCATAAAAATACTATCTAATCTCGTTATCTTCAATAAGCTCTAAAATTTCCTATTATTTCTCTTACTTCTATTTTTTAAAATGTTCATTCCTGCTCCTTAAATTGAGTGCTTATCTAAGTGACCCGGGGACGTTTCTGCTGATGTTTGCAAACTGTAACTGCAGGTGCCAGAAACAAACTTTACTGATCCCACAATTTTTCCCAAGCAGGATCCTGTTAGTCTCTCAAATAATACTACAATACCTAATATACTTTGAATTTTCTTATGGAAAATTCTTTGGGTGATTGAGATTGCACTTTGCAATTGTAGCTGAAAGTTGTTTAAAATTTTATGAACTTGAAGATGTGATAAAGGAAAGTAGTAACTCATCATGCATATTACTGAAAACTGAGCTATATTCCTAATTATTCATAACAGCCTATCACACCAGAAGCTCATAGACACAAAAGCATGAAACGCATATCTGACTTCAGTACTGAATACATATTGTCTTGAGGTGGAATCTAAATGAACAGTATTTAAATTACTTTCGTCTTGCTCAGTTTCCGTCTATTATCTTCTGCTAAGGAAACATTATCTTCATTTTAGTATTAAATTTTGCAGAGTATGTTTGTCTAAATAATGTCTCTAGAAAAATATGCACTTTTAATACTTAGCTTCACACAATTGGCTGTATTATTATTGATAGCACATTCTTAAGCACTTAGGGCACATTTTTGATTTAATATAAAATAGACTATTTCAATATCTATCACTAATTTATTTTTTAAGTGTGACTATTTTGTATGAAGTATTTCTAAGGCATTTCTTCTCACTTTTTTACTTTTCCAAATCTAAAATATAAAGAAAAAAGTTAACATCATTGACCTGAATATAGATTCTTGTGTATTCAAGCTTCTTTCTAAAATGCACTCAGAACATCTAAAGGGATACTTGGTATCATCACCACTTGGTCCCTGCATAGTATGGGAAGATTGCATGCTCTCTGTTTCAGCCTGCATCGACATGCCTTAGGAGTTCACCTGAGCTGTTAAAATGGAGTAAATTTAGGAGGGGGGGAAATGCCTCATACGGTTGATTACTAGAAGAAGAATCATTTATGCAAAGACCCTCCTGCCAGCAGAAACAGTTGCTATGTGTGATGTGAGGTCTGCCACCACATGTGAACATGTGTTTGTGAGAGTGACACCGTGTAACCTCTCTCTCTGTCTCTTGCATGCAAGGCAGATGGACGGCACAGAACTACAGTCAGTTCTGGGGCATGACTCTAGAAGAGGGCTTCAAATTTCGCCTGGGCACCTTGCCCCCCAGCCCTGCGCTCCTGGGCATGAACGAAGTGACGGTGGGTACTCCTCCTGATTGGCTGATGAGCATGTGTCGGTATTGGTGTGCTCACCTGTGTGCTGGAAGAAATCTACAAAGACTAAAATCATGAGTTTTGCACTTTCAGGGTTTTGCAAATATAAAACTTTTGTCATGTAAACATGAAATTCCTCTAACAGAATGATTCCTAGTAGACCCCTCAAAGGTTTCCTGTGGACTTTGAATGACAGTAATATCAATTAAACATAGTGTCCCTTAAAGAATAATGGAACTCTCCTTTCTATTGGCAATGATTTCAGAGAAATACATATTTCTGATGACTGGTTTCCGAGTGTGCCAATATTTTGGCGAATTGAATCTTTATCCTTATTTTTTTAACTAAACACACTTATTTTGTGACTTCATCAATAGTCTTTTGAGGTCTCTCAGACTATCCATTATCATATGAGATTGACGTAAATTTTGGCATTTTCAGACATGGATGCTATCATGATCAGTGAAAGATTTGTCCTTAAAAATCACCAGTTTTCATTCAGAGAATACCTTCAGCTTTTGCCTGGTGACATGGCAGACTGCTGTGAAATGATTCGGAGTTTTCTATCATTCTTATGGTCTGTAAATGTTATTTTGGTTTTCTCTTTCACCTGTTACAGGTACTATCTCTGGATATTAGGTATCTTGCCTATAGAAACTCCTTACTCTTCGGTATCACAAAACTCTAAACCACAAGCTGCGGTTTCCACCAGCTGCGATGCTTCCCTGGTAGTACGCTTAGTTTGTGTGGAGATGTTGGCTGTGTCCAAAGCTTTTCCTGCTTTCAGAACACACTTGAACTCCCCAGTTGCCGGAGGACAGGCTCTCCGGTCTGCAGCATAGACATCGGAAACTCTTAGCATGTCAGGACCGCAAGGGGGTTGCTGCAGTTGGATGAGTTACGGTAAATCTTTTGGTGATTCATTAAGGTTTAACCTGAGTTTAGCTTTCCAAAAATGTAACAACTTGAGTTAATATGTCAATTCAAATTCTGCTATTGAGACCTGCCAAATTATAACTAGTATTGCAGAAGGTTGTAATAACCGGTGTTTTGAGTAGTGTGAGTGGTAAGCACACACTTACTTCCATAGTAAAGTATCTCACTGAAATCCCACAGCAGCTTTCTGTACTGCATCCCTCCACTGCCTTGATTTTAAAGGCAAAGTCAAAGAAAATTGTAAGAGATTAAGTCATACTGACATTGAAAGGGGTTAAGAGCTCCACAGATCCACAGAATTAATTAAATTGCAGAACTAAGATATTTTAAAATGTTTGTATTCCAGAAGTCCTTAGAATTTCAGTAGCTCTGTTGATTTTTCAGATTCAAAGTCACAAGAAATTTAGTTTTTTAACTAGTTAATGTTCTGAAATGAGCAGTTTAGAGATTTTGAGGAGTTTCTTACAATCACTAATATAAAACCTTCCCAGATAAGAATCTGATTCATGGTTTTGTTGGGATGACTGCATCTTTCAAAGAGTCCTCTCCATCCCTGTTTTTTTCTTTTTGTGTCCAGCTGGGTGGAAGTGGGGAGGGGAAGCACTGTTTAAGAAAATACTTGATCCTGCAGGATTGGTTTTGCGTTTTCCGTTAAGGCACAGTGAGCTAAACGCTTGTTTGGATGTTTACATGCAGTTCCTCAGGATTACTTCTAACAACTCCTTTTTAAACTTAACTTTCATGGCTTAAAAGGCTCACATTTTAGAGAAAATAAGGCACATTGCTTTCCCACATTGGCACTCAACCTAGCACACCAAAGAGCATCTGATTTGAAATCACTTCTTGGTTCCTGGAGACTTGTTTGCATGAAAGTCTTTGCCATAATGTCTAAATGAAAATTTCTGATGCCTAGTGAGGTACCAATTATCAAGAGAATTTAAATTTAAATTACCTGGTGGTAGGAATTAATGTAATAGCATTGCCATAATTCTAAGAAAGCAATAGGGAAAATTCAGCAGAACCACAAGGATTCCATGATCCACTTGTGATGGAAGGCAAGCAAACAGCTTTTTTCTTCCGGGGCACAGTTGTTTGAGGGTTAGAATCGTCTTAAGAGCTGCACCCCCAGTTCCGCCCAAAAGGAGATCAGAATTATAACAAATACTTCTAGGAAAAACATGAGATAGAGTGAACTGCGTTGATCTGGCAGCCAAGAAAGAGCTAAACAATGGGTTCCTGCCCTGCTGGTTACCTACAAAATGCCCAGTATCTTCAGCCTGTCTCCGAGGAGAGGGAACATGACTTTTCCTGTGGTTTGAATTCTGGATAACTGATGTTTCGTTTTTTGTTTCTCATTTCAAAAAAATTCAGCAAAGTAAGGAGTAATAGTGCACTAAGGGTCAGCTGCTGCAAGAGTCGTAGGAGTCACACCACGCCGAGAAACTCCATGGCACCCTGAGCCCAATCAATCCCTTTTCCGGCCTACATGAGAATTAAGATATTCTTTGGGTATAAAAGATGAGCAGTGAATCATCCCTGATTCTTGGAGAGTGCTCTGCTCCTCTGGTTGATTCCCAGCCACGTTGCTTAGCTGAAGTCACTGCGGCTGTAATGTACCTGCAGAGAGCTCTCAATAGGTATTGTGAAAAGATTTCCATGGTAATACGACTGTGAAGATGCTGTTTTAAGTTAGACAATTTTGTCTAATCCAAACACACACTCACAGAGTGTGATCAGGAACAAAACTATGTGGATAGTGGGAAAAGTACCTTGAGGATTTGGGGGAAGACATTTCCTAGTAACCCAAAAGGATGACAGACAAAAGGAAATATACACAGGTGTGGGTACAGGCAGACTGGGTGAGAGGAATTAAAAACAAGGAGAGAAAGAAGGCTGAGAATAGCCTGAAGCTTCTCGGTGAAGGTTTGAGAGGAGCATCCCAACTGGGTGAACACAGTCCTGAGGACAGGAGACATGGCAAGGAGAAGGTCACCTAGGATCCTGCACCCCTCCTTGCAGGTACTGTGCTATGCCAAGACACAGGGCTCAGCCAAGACAGCAGGACTCCAGCCTCTAGCTGAACACCAGCGACATCCAGCTTGTGCAGCCCAGAACGTGGAATCCATGGACAAAGAACCATCAGATGGTAGATCGTATTTCTCTTCCAGATATCCACAAATCCATTGGTATATTGGATCTACCGATAATGTTTATTCTATTAGCTTTATTTCTCCGGAGTTTCTAACTTTATAAGATTAGAGTATTTTTTATTTGTTTGTAAAGATTGGTAATATCCCCCAGGACGTAGATTTTGCAGTGCACTCTGAGCAATGCTGACCTCAGGTAACATAGTGAAATGGGAGTTGAAGGAGGAAGTCTATTTGGAGGAAAAATAGAACCCTTTTAATGTCTTAGGTAAAACGGAAGTAAACAGTTTTTGTGATTCTATGCCACAGTCTTCTCAGCTGAGGTCACTTGGAGCCAGCGGAAACATCAAAGTTGAACTCGTTTTGGAACGTTCTGCATGCGCAGCGCGTGCGTGAGGGATGCAGGAAGTGTGTGTGCCCCGTGTTCACCAGAGATGGGGTGCTCACGGGAGACGGGGTGCTCATGGGAGACGGGGTGCTTGGGTTTCCATCTGGCTGCTCCACTTACTCTGCTCTCCTCCTCTGTGACACAGGGATTGTGGTAAGACCTAGCTCTCAGGGTGGGAGGAGGGCCATGAAATGTTTGTGGGTGCTTAACAGGACGCTTGAAATATATATAGTTAGGCATTCCAAACATTATTATGTGGTATTCTAAGTGGACTTTTATTTCTTATACTAACCTTGTGAGAACGGTCAAGTTCTGAAACAGGTGCAGTCTGTAAGAACTTACTGATTCAAATCTTTGTCAGCTGGTACGTTTTATTTATTTATTTATTTTTCATCGGTACCGGGGATCGAACTCACGACTGCCTGCTTGCAAGGCAGGCGCTTATGCCGCTGAGCTGGTACGTTTTATTTCCTACCCAAAAGGGTACTCTCTGATGGTGGGCCCTGATGGACTTTGCATATTTCTGGCAAAACTGAAAGTTGTATTATTATGCCCTCAGTCAAATTGAATCAACAATTTACCTGATTGTTTGTACAGGCACACAAGTGCTTTTTAATTTAGGAGGAAGCTCTAAGAAGCCTCTCTGCATTAGAGTCTGTTATAAATATTGAAAACATTTTCAATGGAAAGTACTGTTTTCACATGGAAATATGGTTTTTCTTTTTTTGGAAATGGGTCTTTGGCCGTGACTGATTTCCCAAGGAGAATCATTAGGTATTTTATCTGAAGTAGAACTTTAAATACTTCCCTTCACGAACTATTAAAATATTCTGAAAGGTGGTATATTTAAAACAGGTAGAAATACTGTCTTATATGGTGGCAGATTTGTGTACATAAAACTTCTAAAATATTTTGGTTCAGGATCATACTTCCACAGTTACCCAATATCAGTTAATTTAGTTGACACAACTAACAAAATTGTCAAGATTTCTAAGGTTTGTTGAAAGTAAAGTAAAATAACATGTTACATAATATATAATAACTTTGAAAGTCTTCACATTGTGAGGTAAGAAATGAAAATTTCATTTAATTATGGCCGTTGACTTACTGGATTTATTTTTTTAGTCATTAGTTATAACAAGAAGAGGGATTTTTTTCCTTCCTGAAACATATTTTGGTGGTAGTAAATATTGGGGTAAGAAAAATGGCTTTGGAAAAGTCAGAACATTTCCAAGTTTAGTTTTTAATCTCTCATAAGCTCTTGACAGTTGATTGGCTAAGAAGAACCTTGCTGATTAAACACAGCTAACTTGATTCCGATAACAGGTCACCAGTGTAAACAGAAAGGCTGCAGAAGCCAAACACTGATAAAAGTGAAAAGCAGAGATAAATAGTTATGCCTTTGTGTAATACTGAACACAAATGACAACTTCTGTCCTAAAAATTGGTGTCGGGCTCCCACATACATACATTTACAGCCTGGCCTGTGGCCTTAGAGGTCCAAATGCAGGAAG